AAGAAGAAATAGGGGAACGTAGAGAAGTTCTTCAAGCAGTACCTGAGTGAGGCGTCTGAGAGAGTTGGGACAAGTATTGGGCCAAGAGAAAACAGGTGAAGGGACTATAGTGAAGAAGAAAAAGTGCATTTGGGACGAAGCAGTGCAGAAGGCCAACGGAGGCCTGGAGGGGAACGTCAAGCAGATGTGGGAAGGGATTAGTGGAATGGTAAAAAAGACCGCGCAAGGGGGGGATACAGGGGTGGCAACTTTGCGAGGTGTGAACGGTGGATTAGTCAGCAGTGGGAAGGGAAAAAGGGAAGTTCTAGCAGGACACTACAAGAGACTTGGAGTGCCCTCGGAGAATGAAGNAGTGGACTAGTCAGCAGTGGGATGGCAAAAGGGGAAGTTCTAGCAGGACGCTACAAGAGACTTGGAGTGCCCTCGGAGAANGTCAAAGAGAGTAGTGGGAAAGAAGGTGGTACAATGTGGGGTATCGGTTAAGTGGTGGGATGACGAGCTGAAAGAAGAAATAGGGGAACGTAGAGAAGTCTTCAAGCAGTACCTGAGTGAGGCGTCTGAGGAGAGTTGGGAAAAGTACAGGGCCAAGAGAAAACAGGTGAAGGGACTAGTGAAAAAGAAGAAAAAGTGTATTTGGGACGAAGTAGTGCAGAAGGCCAACGGAGGCCTGGAGGGAAACGTCAAGCAGATGTGGGAAGGGATTAGTGGAATGGTAAAAAAGACCGCGCAAGGGGGGGATACAGGGGTCGCAACTTTGCGAGGTGTGAACGGTGGATTAGTCAGCAGTGGGAAGGGAAAAAGGGAAGTTCTAGCAGGACACTACAAGAGACTTGGAGTGCCCTCGGAGAATGAAGCTTTTGACCAAGTGTTTAAGAAGGAGGTGGACGCATGGGCCCAAAAAGAAGAAGAGACATCGAAGGCAGACGTTGGGAACGTAGAACTAGAAAAGGAGTTCACTGAGGACGAGGTTGAGGCGTGTGTGAACAAGCTGAAGTGCCACAAAGCAGCAGGAGCGGATGGGATAGTCAACTAGTTCATGAGGTGGGGGGAAGGGGATGATCCAGCTAATGGTACTGCTGTACAATTGAGTGTGGAAAAACGAGTATACGCCATTATGTAGATGGAGGGAAGGAGTGGTTGTGAACTTGTTTAAGAAAGGAGACAAGACTGACCCAGGAAACTACAG